CACGCTTCCTGAGCTTGCCTATGAGGATGTTGTGGGAGACAAAGTGGAAAGCCTTACTGAAGTCAAGGCAGACAACATCCACTGCTCTCGCCTCATCTACCCAGCCAGTCATTCCATCACAGAAGGCTCTCAGGTTGGTTAAGTGTGATTTCCCCTTTGTGAATCCGTGCTGACTACTTCTGATCACCTTCTTATCCTTCGTGTGCATGGAGATGGCATCCAGGAGGAGCTGCTCCATCGCCTTTCTTCCTGACCAGGTGTTCTGCAGCAGACACCCACCACAACAATGCCCATGTTGGTCTGTCCACCAGTCCTGACCCATAATCTATCACCTGGCTCATCATCTGTCCCTAGGCAGAGCTCCATGCATTCATGCAGCTCTCACATACAGGCCAACCCGCCTCCTCGCTGTCCAGGCCTATCCTTCCTAAAGAGCCTGTATCCAGCCAGGGCAGCAGAATGAGCTATTCCACCATGGCTCTGTGATCCAAAGGAGATTGTGGCCCTGCAGCTGCTTACAGACCTCTAATTCCTCCTGTTTGCTCCCATGCAGTGGCATCAGTGCACAAGCACTTCAAAGAGGCACCAGCTGTGCTGGTTTCCCAGAGGAGCTACGAGAGCTCTCCCTGTCCGTCCTTTCGGCACTTCCCATTTATATGTCTACGCCTGAGGCGGGCCCCATTCAGCTCTGTGGTGTCGATTATGAGGTCTCCTGCCCAAATTACCTGAGCTCTTCACTTACCAACACCGGCCACCATTTCCTCACTTGTCTGGGGGTTGTCATCTCCCTGCTCAGTTTAAAGCTCTCCTCACCAGGCTGCCCAGGCTGTTTGCAAGGATGCTTTTGCTCCTTTTTTCATTCCTACTCAAGGCAATTTTAGACCGGTGAAGCCATATGCAAAGCGATATATGACTGACTTAGATGCAAAAAAGGGTGATACAACAGGGGATGATGAAAAGTGTTTTTGAGAAAAAAGGTGGTGAGAGATAAGAGGCAGTAAGTAGGGAAGTAGCCCCATGTTAGTCGATTAAAGTAATTCACCAAAAAAAAAGAATATGAAACACTGCACTTCTGACATTTGCTTAATCTTTAAACTCTTTGATAAGAAATATCTGTATTTTAAAGAACTCAACTGTGTGCTGTTAACAGACTGTAGCTAGACTTTGTGTGTGTGTAGACACACAAATATGCATATGTTTAGATGGCAAAAGGAAGTGCTTAATGAATAAAAATTATTCTTTGGTTCTATTTTAAAAATAAAAGAATCCACAATAATCCACCCTATATATGATCATCAAACAAACATTTATACAGCATTTCTCGCATAGCATTTTTAAACGATGAATGTCAACTGTAGAGTCAAATTCTGTCCTACGACCTTGCGAGGGGCAGTTTATTGCAGACTGTGTTTTAACAGTCTTTCCTACACCCATGTGCCTGATTAAATGGTAGAAATGCCAATTAGATGATAATGTAATAGCATTTCTGGAAGTATTGGCTTTTAAAGTTAATCTTCAATGGGTGCTTTACTGTAGGCATGTGAATACATTAGATAACCCTGGCATGCAGAAACTATTTTAAGACCCACATAATTTTGAAACACCCTTTATTACTCAGTGAAGGTCGTGGTACATTCCATGTACATAAGATCAGAAGCAAACCTTCAGGGGTTATTTTACTTCTCAGGATAGATGCCAGATTGGTAGCCCACACTGACATCTTTTGTTTTTCTACGGGACAGTTAAAGTGGCAGTACAAGCTTTTTCACATTGACACCTCAGTCTTGTTGTAAAGGGACCACCTCACAGAGGTGCCAAGGAGAATAATACAAGTCTATTCAAATGCTTACCTTTTAGCTAAGATTTCCGGAACAAATGTTGACAAGTAATAATGTGTGCTGTTATGGATTGTGGGATTTTGGAGTGTTTGCCCGCAAAGAAGACCAAGGTCGGCAAATTCTCTCAAGTTGCTAAACTCCAACTCGCTAATACTACTTGAACTGTCCAGAATCAACCTGTTAAGCTAAAGGCAACACAATCCACACCTACTTCTAATATCAACTTCTGTTTATCCATTGATATTACAGCAAAGTTTGAATAGCTGCTTCCTTAAGCTTTACACTTAATCAACATCACTTTTATATCCATAAAATAAAAACATTGAGTGTTTGTTATTCAGAGTTTTGGAAGTGGAATGGTGTCGTACACAATGTGCATACAGGTTTTCACATTGAGTTAGCTGCTTATTTCTGTTTGCTCTGGAAGAAGCACATATAACATTAGATTCAGAATAATTCTGTGAAATATATCTGATCCCTTTATGCAACAACCTGCTACTGGGGGGGCAGGAGAAAAGCAAATCCTGACCTTGATGTCAAAATGATGTAAATTACTTTTCATATGTTGACTTGTATAACAAGCGAGGCATGAAAACAAAAGCACAATGCCCAGAGTAGTGGCAGTGAATATTTTATCTTACTGACAAAAAGCAACAAGAGACTAAATCCTTAAAGCATATGCTGTGCTGACAATGCACTCTCATTGTGACAGTAATGGTATTTGCGATCCCAGCTGCACTCAAGCCTGTGCTATAAAAGCACTCATTTCTCAGAATGCATGTTGCTACCACTTATTCTTTACTGGCCCTTAGCCAGAGGAATAAGCTGTGGTCTGTTGTTCATGTTGCCATGCATAAAGGGATGTTTAAACAGATTGGTTTTTTTTTTGCCCAAAGTGAAACTGGAGACATTTTGACATCATTAGGGCTTCTGAAATCTTCATACTCCGTACTAAAAAGTATCTTTAGGTGACTGAACATGCCTTATCTTGTATGTAAACCAGCCTTTCTCTGGATTTGCCCAAAGATACAAAATAAATGCCTTTCTAACATTCTGGGCTGGAGGCGCACCCAAACCTAGCAGCAGAAGTCCCACAGCTTTTGCGAAGCTATGCCATTTTTGGTTAGCGGGTTCTTAAGGCAAGTAGATTTTCTGATTGTCTCCCTCTGTTAGTGTTGTGTCCGTGCTGGAGCGCACACCTGTAATACTGAGTATAGAATGTAATTTTGCTGTAATTCAGTTGACTGTAGCTGGTAAGAATATTTAGAGGGTGACTCATGGCGTTGACTAACAAGCATCCATCATGTTTTGTTGGAGATTGTTTTAATTTAATTTAAGTCTAAGAGTTGATTGCGGATAAAGGGAGATGCCGCTATGGGAACGTGTTCTAACATGTGCGTTCTCTAATTTTTTATAGCACCCCCTTGTTCAGTATTCTCTCTAGGCTGAGATGTGAGATTCAAAGGGAATTAGAGACTGTTGCTTATAAATTATGGAATTACTGCCTCATGGTTACCATTCTGTCATCAATAGCGTTAGACTTTCCTTCATATTGGAGCTTTTTCTCCTGTCTTTTGTCAGCTTGTAAGGTTTCTACATTTTCTGTATCAGATTGTTCCCCGTTCCTGCTTCCATTCTCAGTCCAAATGTTTTGTGTTGAGTCCTAACACCCCCACACTGATTTGTTGCTTTCTACTTACTTAACATTCAAGCAATTCAAGAAGTTTTAGGTGATTCCCTAATGCAATTCCAGAGTAGCGTTTCAACACATGCTGGTTCTTTCTGCTTTGGAGAGACAGCATGTGGAAAACTTAGGTGGAGAGCTCTAGAGAAAGTGGGAGAGCGGCATGGCAGGTGAAAAAATATATTCAGGAGATCTGTGGATTGGGGCATGATGGAGGAGGGATAAGCATAAGGCACAAATTAAATCCCAGAATTATGCATAGTGCTTGATTTGGTGAAGCTGAGTGCAACAGCAGATTAGCCTGCTTAGCCATCTGAGCGAAAATTCTTGCATCAAGAAACTTTTGGCTCAGGTTAAGAAGCTGCAAACTTGCCCTTTGTTCTTGTGGCCTGACTGGGAAAATAGGGTAAAGCACTGTTTCCAGTTTCACGCTTTCGTCCATCCCTTTGTGGTCAGTGCGGAAAATCCATTTGATTTTATCCTCGTGGTTTGTTCAGAAACGTCTGTCGTGAGGAGGGCAGAACAACTACCCGCTTACCAACCTCTTGCTAAGTGTGATCAGTCAGATTCTGCATTATCCAGATGTAAGAGCAGCAAGTGGATCCCTTCCAGCTCTGTCTCGTTCTTTGGTCCGATCTCCTGTTTCAGACCTGCTGCCAGGTGGCAGGTCACCCCGTACCCCTCTGGAGCTGGTTTTAGACTGTATGGCAGTTACCACAGCACGAGAGTAAAAGCTTCTCTTTTATGCCTGTCCCTGATGGTAGATGCTCCATAGACCACCTGTTGGAAGTGTGGCTGATCAGGTATAAATTCCCAGTTTAACTTTAATCCAGAAAATTGGGATACTAGTGGCTGTTGAATCTCAGTAGCACACACTTTGCATTTAAGCACCCAAACTTACTTGGGTGCTGCCTATAGACTTGATTCTCAGCTCCCACACATTCACTGCTATTGGTACCTAAGCTTGATGAATTTAAGTGCAGTCACCTCTCTGACAGTAGTGTAGGCATATGGTTTATCCTAACGCTGTAGGCTTTTTTGTAGTAGATACATGACATAGAGGAGCCAAAATAATTAAAACCTGTTCACAACAAAGTTTCTCCAGTGAGTTGCTAAAATGTAAATTACCATTTACCCAAAAAACCCAGTTTCCATCGCAGTATCTGTTGACTTCAGAGGGTATAGCTCAACCTCTAGAAAAGAGATTTCTGAAAATTATGATCTATATTTCTATTCATTTATTGAATAAATGCTCAATAATGCACACAATAATGTCCATAGAAGTATGGACACAGCTTCCAAATTTATTGCAGGTTAAATTTCTATTCCCCAATGACTGTAAAGCAAAGATAGCCCTAAAACAATAGGAAAAAAGTAACGCCACAGAAGAACTTTCTTGGGAGTGAGAGGGAAGGATTTCTTTTCACCTGACAAAGCTCTAATTTCGTTGTCATTTAAAAATTCTGTTTTACAGACTGACTCTCCAGTCAAGCACCAGATGCATTTGTGTGAGTGAAGATGACCTCCCTGTGAACTCAACAAATGTATCAAAAAATGGCATTGCTCACTGGGAATGCGGATCCTGAGTTCAGCTCTTACTCCTTCAATAACTTGGAAAACCTGTGTGAAGTGCAAACAAAGAAAGGTTTCTTCTACAAAAAGGCCAAACTTCTGCACCCTGGAGAAGACTTGTGCTGCTTAGCCCGCCTGGAAGACCGGACCAGGTTTGTGATCATCAACGTAGGTGGTATTAAATACAAAATTCCATGGACCACCTTGGAGAACTGCCCCTTGACCAGGCTTGGGAAGCTAAAATCTTGCAACAATTATGATGAGATCATGAACATCTGCGATGATTATGATGTTAGCTGCAATGAATTTTTTTTTGACCGTAATCCTAGTGCCTTCAGGACAATCATGACTTTCCTGACAGCTGGGAAGCTGAGGCTTCTCAGGGAGATGTGTGCTCTTTCTTTTCAGGAGGAGCTTGTGTACTGGGGGATAGAAGAGGAGCACCTGGAGTGGTGCTGTAAAAAGAGATTGCGACAGAAAGAGGAGGAGGCAGCTGAGGCCAGGCTGTTTGAAGGGGAGATGGTGTTTAGTGAAACTACGCAAAGTGCCTTCCAGGACAATAGCCGATTGAGTTTGTGCATGAGAAAGCTCAGGGATATGGTGGAGAACCCCCACTCAGGGATCCCAGGAAAGATCTTTGCTTGTATTTCAGTCTCTTTTGTTGCCATCACTGCAGTCAGCCTCTGTATCAGCACCATGCCAGATGTCAGAGAAGAAGAAGATCGGGTGAGTGCAGCTTTTCTCGGAGTAAAGTGTTTTTCATTGTTATCTCCTCAGGGAAAGTGAAGGGCAAAGTCACTCCAGCAATCATGCAGCTGATATATTCAGTATTTATGATGTGGCGGGCAGGCTGGGGTAGAACAAAGAAAGCGTTACATGACTTAATACTGAGGGAAAATTGGGCCAGACTCTGCCTTGCCAGCAGATCTTTGCCAGTTCACACCAGCAGGCGGCTTTACCTGACAGATTTGTTTTCTGTCATCGCTAACCCGGTGGTAAAGTAGCTGTTGTGTCTATAAAAATCACTCTTGCTTGAGGCTCAACATTTTGAAGATAAAAGAGCTAAGAGATAAGATTTACCCAACAGTACTTTAACAAACTGCTTTTAATGAACTTTCCGTTCGTCACTGTAAGAAACACATCTAAAAATATTCTGCTGTCATAGGTGAGGTGATGGGCAGGGAAGTTGAGGCAGCAACTGAACAGCAGGAGCAGAGCATACATATATCCTAATTTTCAGATATACTGAGTGCTCTCAAGTCTAAGCTGTGGGTGCTTCAGGCCTCTGAAAATCAAGTCTGTGGATGCTTTGTTTAATCTGTATTTCAACAGATTTCCTAAGGGTTTACTCCTTTGTTTATACAAGTCGTATAGATTCCTAGGGTGAGTTGCATATACGTCTGTGAGTTTGCCTGAAGATTGAGAGAGAAGGACCTTTACATTTTCATTAAATGTACGCTGAAAGGCAACATAATGGGATTGAGGTGGGGACTTTCAGGAAAGGTTTTATGGCTTCTTTAGATTTGCTCAAATCCAAGCTAGATGCTTTATGTTTGGGCTTGTTTTCCAGCCCCGTGGTCATTAAACCTAATTGTGAACTTTACCTACTAAGCCAGTATTTTATCCAGTCCTGTTCTGCCTCTCAGTTCCATGCAGAGCTCTCCCTAAAGCAGAACTCTTCCAAGTGCTGAATGGCTCATCTCTCACAACAGGTAACAGAAAAGAGAGAGGTCATTAACTAACAGGAGACATTCAGTATTTTGCAGTGCTGAAAAGAAAAAGCATGCTGATGATCAACGGATCCAAAAACTCCAGAGAGCCCCATACTGAATTTTATTAAGCATTTCAGGTGCAGTTAAACTCACCTGTTGCTTCTAAGGTATCCACAAGGTGTTTGTGGGTACCTCAGATTAGATGTCAACCAAGTTGTTTAATCTGGAATCAGACCCAGTGGATGGTAACTGTTCATGATAAAAAAAAAAAATCTGGAATGTTGTTCAATAATTGCCTTATTGTACGGGTTTTATTTTCAAAGCTTTTTACCGTGAGAATGGTAGCTAAACTAGGTACTAGTTAAAGCTATATTTTCATGATTAAAAAGTTTTTCAGAACTTGTGCCTTTTATTCAAATTAATCTGCAGTGTTCTAGTATCCTGGAATTTTAAGCATGCGGGAAATTTTACTGTTGAAAACTGGATGTAATTAGTGTTTAAATGTTCCTGGTTTAGGTGGCAGCTGACAATTGCTTTCAGAATAATCTTTTAGCAATTAGGCCCCTTATATTTTCATTAGTGATCTGGATTTAAATGGAGAATCACTGATGATAATATTTGTTGAGTGGAGTGGGATAGTAATGAGAATGGGGAAAGCATGTTAGAGAAGCCTGAATTTCTTGGTAAGCTGGGGCCATTAAAAGGAGCACATTTTCACACAATCAATCAAGTGCAAAACTGTACAATAAAGACAAATGCGTGCAGACTTGTTCTTACAAAAATGGACAATCCAATTCCCAAAAATGGGATTCTAAAAAGGATTTAGGGGACAAGCAACTGCATGTAAGTTCCTATTGCAGCATTAAGGCAAAAGGCTTAATGTGGTTCTTGAATATATAAGCTGGGGAATAGTGTTTAGAAGCTGGAAGATGATTTTGTATCTGTTTGTGGCATTGGTGAGACTGATACCAGAATACTGCAGTCAGTTCTTACGTTCATATTTTTAAGAAGCTGCAAAAAAAAATTTGAGACCTGGAGAAAATGTTGTACAATAACACACATCAATATTTTGGTTCATTTAGCTTATCAAAAGGAAGATTGTAGGGTGAGCTGATTAGGCAAGTAAGTATTTTTTATGCGACAGGGAAGGAATTCTATCAACTGAAAGATTTTTAACTTAAGCAGAGAAAGGGTATATGGTTAAAAGCTGATTCCAGATAAATTCATATGGGAAACCAGGTGCCAATATTTCATACTCTGGAGATTGATTACTGAGGCAGACAAGGAAGAGACAAGGGAGGATTCTCTGGTTTTTGATGTTTTCACTTCAAGACTCAGTGCTCTTCTGGAGCGTAGCCTTTAGCTAAACACATGCTGCTTTAATCAAAAATGAAAGTTACTGGTTTCACTAAGAGGTGCAAAGATAAAGTGCTAGTAATATAACGAAAATCAGAATAAATGATCTGATGTTTTTCTGTGCCCTTAAATTCTAAAAGCGCAGAGTTTCTGCAGATAAGCGTTGTTCTGCCCTCTGCACGGGGGAGGACCGTGGACACAGGGGAAATTGTTATTGTGTTTGAGACAAAGGTAGTACTCTGGCAGAGGGGACAGGTGAAGGATCACTTCTTCCGTAGCTTATTTCATCCCCATTGTTCCTTACCTGCTTTTGAATCAGTGCAGATCAACACTTCTTTCTCTATTTGAGTTGTCATTCCTCACTTCCGGGAGTCACGCGTAGTGGCTGATTTTAGTCCTGCACAAAGGCATGTAAATGCCCATGCAGAGCCTTCTTGACCTCAGTGAGGCTGGGCAAAGATTTCAGCATCTGCTACGTGAAGTTGCTTGTAGGATCTGAGACCTAGATTGTAGACTCCTTGCATGTCATCTATAAATGGATCAGCAAGTCGATGGAGCTCATCAAATAATGGTAGTAGGAAGACAAGAGTTCATGTGAATTCAAAGTCATGTTACTCATCTTGAGATGTATCCCTAGTAGCTAGTTTAAAATTCGTGCCCAGGGATAGCTCTTTCATCTGGTTGTACAGTTTCCTAACAAGCAGAAAATGTATCTGCAGCCCTTCTGGCTCAGGAACAAACAAACCGTAAATATTATTTAAAGGACACACAGTATTCAGTGTATACAATGTCCAAACTGTCTGACTGGAATTATTATTGTTAGGTTTCTGTGTCAGAGGAATCCTGGTAGATACTCTGTTTAACAAGCAGTGGTCTTTTCCCTGAGCTGATGTTCTCTGGAGAATAAAAGCTTTATATGCCACCTATCTCTCCTGTTACTGCTGCAGGGAAAGA